TTTTGCTTTTGTAAAATGCTCGCCTGCTGTCACTGAAGATTATACATTTTGGTATTTTCCTTTTTTTTTTTTTTTTTTTTTTCAATATTACTAATACAATTATAAATAACTTATATTCAAACTATACAAAATGTTATTTTATAACAGTATTTTCTTTACCCCTTCTGTTTGTGTAATTTCTGAATGTGTGTTTTTTCATTACATAAAGAATCAATTTCCTTTTCTAAAGCTATCCATATTTTTTCTGTTTTTTCATTTGTTTTATGTCTTAGTCTTGTTTGTAACTTATTAAATATTTCTCTGCAGTATCGTTTTATCATCTTTTCTTTCTCTTCATTATTGCTATCTTTATCTTCCTGATTATTCGGAGTTTTCCATTCAGTATCGTCTTTGTTTATTCCCTCCTTCTATCGTAGTATTCTTTTACATTTCTTCTTCTGTGTCTTTCTTCAATTTTTAATATCGTTTGATTATCACGTGGTATTTCGTTTTTCTCACTCCTGTCGTGTATTATGGGTTTTTGTGTTGTTATGATAATTATTTTTGTATCTATTTCGCTCCTGTGCGCTGGGTGGGTCTCCCGTTATTTTGTTGACATTACTATGATTTGTACTGCTTATGTTATTGTTGTTTTTATATGTCGATTTAGGTACCGTTGTTGTTGGTCTTATGATTTCTGGCTGTTGATATAGTTTTGTATATTTTTCTATCTGTACGTCAGGCAGATCGGAAAATTGATTTTGTTTTTAATTTCTACATCTGGTCTTATGACATCAGCATATGTTTTATTGTTTAATATCGCCTTGGCTTCCCTAAAACTTATATTATAGTCGGTCATTATATTTTTTACTTTGATGTGATATAAGTATTTACCACATTTTTTGTCTTTCGCCTGATGCTCTTCCTTGCATAATGCGCATGTCGGAGAAGATTCTTTGTTTTCACAATCCTTATACTTGTGTTCGCCTGAACAATGACTACACCTTGTTTTACCCTTACACTGATTAGTCACGTGGCCGTAATTTTGGCAATTAAAACATTGTGTAATGTTATTGTATTGTTCGACCCTGAATTTGACTGCATATATCGACACACGATCAGGTAATTGCTGTCCCCTGAAGGTTATTACACAAGTTTTTGTAGGCACTAATTTATTTTTTCTTTATTTATTCTTTTAAATCTGAAATTTCAACATCTGATTTTATATCTTCTCTTATCTCTTGATCTGTCATATCAGCGTCTATGCCGTGTATGACACCCTTCCTAATTAGTAAGAACGTGGGTATATATGCTCGCAATTTGTTTTTAACGAACACCTCGTCCTTAATAATATTATTTGCTATATTATAGTAATTAAATATAATTTTGATTCTGTTTTCCTATGGATCTTATTTCAATTATATCATGTTTGTATTGTGGAAAATTTTTAAACATAAGCTTGCCTATTGCCATTTGGTGTACCACTCCATTGTTTATATTTTTGGATTCCACGTAGATAATGAATGGTCCTATATCACTGTTTGAGTAGGTCAAATTTTATATTTATTATTATATGAATTTTTGTTTATATCATTATTTTGGCTAATTTCTTTTATGGGTTCATTAATTTCTAAATTATCTTGATCTTCTAATTCTAAATCCCCATTTTGTTGCTATCTGTTTCTGTACTAATATTTCTTCTTCCATACTTTCATCCCAATTTGTTTCCGACTCTTCCGAGATATCTTCACTAGTCTTGATAGAAGTTTTAACATTTTCTAGTTTTTTAGAAGTATTTTTTAATCTTTCCGTCACTTTTTTAATTTTATCAGTTTTAAACACTTTTAATTGATTTATTTAATAAATTAATACTAACACTATTTTTCCACTATGTAGTTTATTGCCTAAATCACTTAATTTTTTAGAATATTCACTTTTCTTGTTAATTAAACTATTATAGCATTGTTGTGTTGAATTTAAATCTTCATTATAATATGTTTTCATTGCATCAGCAATGCTTGTTCCTAAATTACTGATTCTATTGACATTGTACTGAGACGGTGATGACTCACCGTTCTCGCCGTACTCACCACTCTCCATATCTTATCGATGTGCACGCTTCGAATGCTCGAATTGAACTGTTAGACAAGTTCGTAACATTTTGAATGTAATGTTATGTTTCTGTAAATTGAATATATTTTTAACTTCCCGAAGGAGAAGTTTATATTTCCATAAAAAAAACAATTCGCTAATTTTATGTTTTCTCGACATTCAAGCCATTTGTTATTATATCCTTAATAATACGTAACTTTTACAAAAAGTTTTAAAACACTCTTTAGTGTTAATAATGAGTAAAATTTAATTCTACCTGATAAAGAATTGTTTAAGTGGTTATACTTATAGATGTATGATGAACCATTTTATATTGATAATGATTTGATATTACAATTCATATACTTAAATGTCTTAAAGGGATATTTTAGTGTAGATACATTGATTTTAGGCGATTCAAAAAAGCAATCAATGTTTGTACTATCATCTACAAGAGTACAGAAAAAAAATTAAAACAAAAAAGAGTGCGCGAAAAGTTCACACGCGATTGAAGAGAAACTTATTTGCTACTGTACAAGATGGCAATTAAGTAAAAATAAATACATCATAAAACAATTTTGAATAATGTATATCTGTAATACGGTAAAACTCGTGATGCACATATTTATTAGTGTCAACCATTATACACATTTATATAAAAATAAATTATAAAATTATATATTTATAATTTTATTAAAATATGTATAATATTTAAAAACAAGAATGTAATTAAAGCCATACTTCAAATATGACATGATCGGTTTGTTATTGTAATTAACATTTAGAAATAAACCTTCGTTATGGAAATGAAGTAATTGCTGATTAATAACTTCTATGATATTCGTTCACACAGTGGATTATGTTAAACGAGGCCTAAATAAATATTGTTTTGTAACTTCACTCATCATGTAATAATTGTGTTTAAAAACCTTCATGGAATTAAAATTAATATACATGCAATGACTGATGGTATTTTTTTTACTTTCTCGCTGGCGATATAATCTCATTCTTTGAACAACTGTAATATCGTTTGCGTAAAAATTTTTTCATTTCAATAACTTTAAAAATTTATAAAAACGACGAATAATATAGAAATTATTTCAATAAACTTATGTTTCATACACGGCGCAAATGCCGCATTTGTTTTATTATTTTCATTATAATTATTTACGGGGGACAAGGTAAAATATTCTTCTGATTCAGGCATTTTTCATTTACTTCAGACATTTTTCATAACTTTAAAATGTTTATTTATCTACGCCGATTTTCTTGTTGATATCTGCACGCATACAACGTCAGATCTCTATTCACATACGCAACGACTAATCACAATCGACCCGTATAGAAATATCATCGAGAGCGAATGACGAATCTTTGGCACTCAACACTTATCTGCTGTAATGCACTTCCGTTGCATTTGTACGGATTTACACTACAAAAGTACACTAAAGAAGTTTTATTTCAAAAAAGTTAATAATTTTGGAAATTAACAATTAACGGTTGATGTGGATCCACATTAGGGAATGCAATACCGGTTTACCGGTATTCCGAATTACCGGTAAATCGCCCGATTTTTTGGCGGTATTTTTACCGATATTTACCCCAAAAATACCGTTTTTTTCGGTATTTTTACATAAGCGCTATTTGATGCATAATACACTAAAGTTTAAATTTCTCAGAACAAATTTATCGTTAAATTCCATAATCGCATCAACAGCTATATCTTCAAGTGATTCTATAGAATAAACAAATGTCAAATATTATCTCAACTCGTCATTGAATTGAATATTTATTGCTTTACTGAAGGCTTCATATCGTGTTACAATAAATAGAATTGGACTGATAGATAATGAAGTTTGTTTCATCTTATGTAAAAATGTAACGGTTTTTTAAGTGACATATGCGCAAAATATTTTATATCATACAGATTACCCCTGCGTAATCTTTATTTTTTTCTAACTTTATACATAATAATTATGATAATTACTAAATATTTTTGCTTCTTATTACAATTATAAAATATTATTTTTCGAAAACGTTTCGAAGTTTGAAAATACTATAGAAGCATCACATTGATTTAAATAACAATACTCAACAATTATAGTAACTTATTATTTATCTCGACAAAGTATCCGATATTACATTAGTGTAGAAATATTTTTTCTTAAATATTGGAGATTATTCTGATTTAATACATCGGATACAGACAATACAGTTTATTATAATAATGTAATATGAATTTTAATGAGTTTTTTGTCTTTCTTACTCATAAGTTTGTTTTTGGTGAAAATTACTCAACATACTCGATAGTGTTAATGAATTAATTAAATTGGATGTAATTTTGTTAAATTATTATTTAAAAAAAAATAAACTTATTGTTTTATTTTATTGTTTTTATTGTTAAGTTGAATATAGTTGTAGTTGTATATACATTTTTTTATATTTGTACTAGTAACTTTCGAAATGAAAAATTACCGAAATACCGGTATTGAAATTTTCCATCGGTATTGCATTCCCTAATCCACATCATAACCCTCGAGGGTCATAAAATGTTGACGTGAGAAAAAAGATTATTAATCTATAATAATGTGGCTTTATGAAATGTAATAGAATTGAGTTGAAAAACAAATTTTTGGCAAAATGTAAATGTTTGAAAAAAAAGTCATCTTATCTTTTTTTTCGAATTTCTCGATTTTTTTTTTAAGTAGTGAAGATGAAAATTTTGAGATTCGAGAGCCTATTATAGGTCTGAAAGAAGTTTATAGAGAAGATTCTCCGAAAGTTTCAATTAAACAGGTTCAGTAGAACTCGAATAATCTCGGGTATCGTATTGAAAGACTGTTTTGGAAAAAAATCTTTTTAAGTTTCGCAGAAAGCAAGAAGGGAATTATCAAGATCAAACAGCTGTATTTCCGAAAATAATAAAATGTTTAAAAATCTTCTCGTATACATATTGCTAAATATGTTAAACATTAAAAATATGAGAACTATTTCTAGAATATACACTTAAACAAAAATATGAACTTACCTGAGGTGTGCTCAGAATGAAGCTTAGCAGCCACGCAGCAATAAGCAGCCGTTGGCATCGACGCATTGTGCTCAACGACTGCATGGGATAGCGAACGGCCAGAAATCTATCTACCCCGATCAGCACCAGCACAAACGTGGACAAGTACAAGCTAAACACCTGCACAAATTTGTAAAGTTTGCAAGCTAAGTTCCCTGCATACCACTGAACCGTATAACTCCAGGCAGCTTCGCCAGCTATGCAAAATATAGTCACCAGTAAATCGGCTATGGAGAGATGTAGAATGAGCGTATAAACAGCGCTCCACGAGTGGCGAGCCAGACGCCTGGAACGCGACCTTCTGATGCTGAAAATCGTCGCAGCATTGCCGAATAATGATAGCAAAGCCATTCCTGTTAACACCCACACCCGAATCATACCGGAATGTGTGAGGGTTGGAGCATGTTCTAAACATAAAACACCATGTATAGTTTCATTGTAAGTACCGTTGTACTGCAAAAGATCACAATCCTCCATCGTCATATTCCCCATCTTGACATCGAACGCTAGAGAGCTGGTGTAATTGTCCTCCATGGTGTACTAATTTATTTAGTTATTATCGAAAAACTTACACGACCAAAGTGTTTTTCCATTTATCATTTTATGAATATCTTGAACAGACTGTTTAGGCATTTCTCTATGCTATTTGATCCTTTCTGTTACATTTAACATTTAGATGTTTTGATAATGTTTACACTTAAACTACACATTAGCTCGTTTGCTACAACTACTTTCATATTCTAAACTTTTCATTAACTTCATATATTTACTATTATATCTTATCAAAGCATGGTTTCATTCAACAAATTTCTGAAGTTTTGCAGCAAAAACAATATTTTCTAAGATGTAACCATAAACAATTTTGCATATTTCCATATTCTTTGTACAACTGCGCATTTGCAAAGTCTTCATGTACACAGTTTTCACGATCAATGCATCTGCAAATATTAAAAACAAATATCAATACATATCTAATATATAACAAATAATATATTTTTTATATTCATCAACATATATCAATTTCAATAAAAATCATAATAAAATAACATAAGTACTAACTAGAATCCGCACACTGAGGGTTTCAAAAATTAAAATCTGTTTTTTTTTTAAGTTTGCTCATGTAATTGTTCAGATCTATAAATGTTATTCTAAATTTATATTTTTGTTATTGGTTATTTTCAAAATACGATGCCGTGTACTTACACACACGTCATATAAAATATCCAAAAGATTTTCAAAGATTTTGATATCTTTGAAAAAAAGGTCTCTAACACACAAAAGTTTCGTGATCTTTCAGAGTATCATATAAATTAACTAATGGAAAAGGATCAATTCAAATGATTTCATAGAATTTGCACTTGCAGATATATTTTCAGTTTCAATTAAAGAATAGCTAAATTTATTAAATCATGTAACACTTAACGAATTTAATTAGTTTTCGAAAAAAATGATCTAAAAGATAAGTTTTTCTTATTTCATATTTTTAAAGCTTATTGAGGTAATATATGTTTCTGATACGTTTTTTTTTAAATATCTTGTTTTATAGAATTATTTTATAACTTTGTTGACTAAATGAATAATCAAATGATTTTATATCCAAAATAAATTATTATTATTTAATATCTACATATATATTTTATAACGTGATATGCAAAAATAATTAAAGTGCGATTTTAACATAAGCTAAAAGGTTCGGGAAACGCTGTAACATACACATATTTAGAAAAACAAATATTAACATAGCCAATCACATGTTAAACTCATTAGTGAATGCATTTCTGCTATAATTCTTGTTCTCAAAAATTTATTATAAAGTGAAACTAGCATAATGAATAATCGAATGCTAGTTAATGAATTATTAACTTATTAAAAAAATTGCATAATGTAGATAGGCAAGTGAGCTACGTTAACTCGATTCAGGGATGAATAGTGAGAGAGATTTCCCTTTGCTATTTCACACCGCAATGCCCCAATATGGGCTATTTTTAATTAAAAACATATTTAATATAATTTCAAGTGGAAAAAGACATCGCTACTGCTTGATATCAGAGTGTCCAGAGCGGTCTTTGAACTCACAACCCCTTCGACACGAGTCCGTGAGGGCACCATATATATATTATATATTATATATATATATATATATATATATATATATATATATATATGTGGGAGTTGTAATGATTATGATAATATATTTAATTAGAAACTCCCAACATAATAAAAAAATATAAATTTATTAACTATAAAAATATTTCGATATCAAAAATTATACATGACATGTCTGATTGTTTTTTACAAATCAAAAACAGCCTGCTTGATATCGCCACACACTCCCTGCCCAGTGTTGATCTCACAGTTTAAAAAAAAAATACAGGGAAACACGTTATAAAAATGTGGTGGGAAAGCAGATTATAGCAGACCAGTGTTGTAATACTGGTCAATTACAAATTTCCATGTTTCGTCAGCAGATCCACCGTATGTGGTGATTTGACCTGCCATCAACTCCATATTCTGCATAATGTTCTCGATCTAATGGGTATTAGTTATATCAAAATAACTTAATGTTTAGAATGCATAATTTGGGTACAGTTTCCATTTCTGCAAGCGTTGCATTCGTATCTGATGAGTTCCGATCAGAGAAAGAAGTTGGCTCTTTATCCAAATCAGGATCATTGGTTTCTTTGACATAAGAGTCCAGAATTGTGGAATCCAATAAATTATGTCAAATTTTGTTTTGATTCGTCGTTGTCACCGATAATGGGAGGTAGCATTATAAGACGATTTGTTGAGTTAACAGAGAAAGAGAGGTTGAATTGCATTCCAATGAAAAGTTCAGGCTCCAAATTATTTTTTCTGTCAGCAATAAACACTGAGGTCTGGGTATACCAAATGAGTAACCTCGGAAGTCTGATCCAGATAGTAAGTGCGTTAACTATGATGGATTGGACTGGACATACCTTATAGGTCGTCACTGAAGACCAGTGATTATGGTGCTGCGTCAAAATCAATTTTTCTTAAATCTTCGAAAAATAAAACTCCTTTATCTTCATCTCCATCGTCGTGAGTCACCAATGTGGGAGTTGTAATGATTATGATAATATATTTAATTAGAAACTCCCAACACAATAAAAAAATATAAATTTATTAACTATAAAAATATTTCGATATCAAAAATTATACATGACATGTCTGATTGTTTTTTACAAATCAAAAACAGCCTGCTTGATATCGCCACATATATATATACAGTAGCGGCGCTAGGCGTCGGCGGTGACGGCGGCCGCCGACGGCCTCGCGCCTGGGGGGGCCTCGCAAGAGGCCCCGGAAAAATTGTAATTATTTAAAATTTAGTTAATTTTCATACGGATGTGCGAGTAAAGAAGGTGATTAGAGGTTTACAGGCACTATCATTTTACTCTTTTATCTTTTATGGACATTATCTAATATCGTCTGTAAACACCATAGATTATTAAATCTAAACAACTTCGCGCAAGCTAATTCTCTGGTTGTTTATACTTGTGTATTTCTTATGTGATCACAATGTAAATCACCGTTCTTTTTGGAAATACATGCGAGTGGGAATCTTAACGTATCGAAAGAGTAATTTAATATTCGAGGAATAAAAGTAATCAATGATCAATAAAAATTGATCAATGAGAAATAACAATGAGATAATAACAAAAACTGTTAATTTGAAACTAATCATTGTTTCACACAGTCAACACAAGCAATATATTTTTTTAAACATTCTATTGGGATGATCAGTTCTTTCAAATAAAATTGATAACCTTTTAAACTTTTTTTGTATCTCCGAAACCGCTAAACCTGCCTTTGACAATTTATCAACACGACTCGAATGTTTTTCAAATCCTTTAAATCAGTTGATCCGCTCTGATGTCGTCGACAAAACAATTAAAGCGTCTTAAAAAAACGACATTTTGATATTTCTGAACCAATTTTAAAAATGCAAAAACTGATCGAAAGTTTTCAGTTGGCGATCGTGCTGAAATGTTTTTCGTCAAGATCGACCGCACAGTTTCTTCGTAATTTATTGTAAAAATCTTTTTTCAAAAAAAAAAAACTTGTTAGTCCCATCTAACATAAATTTTATGGAACTACGATAAATGATTAATTATAAAAACTCATTAAATTTTAAAATAATGGAACGAGCTTTTAGAACATTTGTACCTACTATGTGATGTGCGGATTTGTGCACTCAAATTAGTATGAACATAGATTTTTTAAATTTAATTAATCACTTGCAGATTGCAAAATTTTGTCTAATTAGTTATTAAGTCGGTGATTTGCAACCATTTTTTATTCATAATGATCGCAAAAACATAAAATTTGCTAATCAAATGGTTGGGCAAAAGGAAACTTTTTCGCAATAATTATTTAATTTTAGTGCTTTTCTAATAGCTGGAGAACAAACCATTTTTGCCGAAGAGTTTGTTTATTTTAACTTGTGTAATTTTTGTCTATTTCAATTGGTGTATTTATCTGAATAAAAATAAATCTCATATACAGTTATAGTAATCGCAAAAAAATCTAAAACAAAAATTTTTATATATCTTCAAAGATATCTGAACATTTTGGCAAATTTTCGTCGACGATTTCGCGAACATGGACCAACCAATTTGAAAAATTCAGAAAACATGTGACATGTATTGAAGGTAAGAAGACGTGCTGATTAGTTTTTGGCAAAGGCAGGATAAGCCGTTTTGAAGATACGGGGCAAAAAGTGCCAAACTGATTACATTTTTAGGAAGGCAGGTCTAGCGGTTTTGGAAATCCAGTAAAAAAGCACAACAAAAGCCATTTGGCATATGCACATCAAATTATCAGATATTTTATAAAGATTTTAATTAATAGTGAGTTAAGTTAGACTGCAACGCGGCGTTTACGCGCTTCTATATTTCGTCTCTAAGCAGCTAACGCAACGTGATTGCTTTGAAAAAAGTTCGAAATTTTCAACAAAATATTTCAAATTGAAAAAGGTCAATTTCTTTTACTTTTCAAATTTTTTAAAGCTTTTCAAAAATTTAAATTACGGCACGAAAAGTTGCCACGGCACAAAAACTTGCAACTGGCAAAAAAGGGGGGCCTCGCAAACGAATTTCGCCGACGCCCACGAATGGTCTAGCGCCGCCACTGTATATATATATGTATATGTATATATATATGTATATATATATATGTATATATATATATATATATATATATATATATATTTATATCTAATTAGCGTAATTTATTGAGTGATGTATATTAGCGCAATTCAATATAAAGTAAAAGAGAGCATTGCTACGTTGGATAGGCTTCTTTTCATATGAATACAATCATTTTTTATACAATATTGAAGCCATAATTATACAATCTTTAAATCGATAAAATATTTGAAAAATCGGCAATAAAAGAATATTTACGTCCGCGGCTGTAAAGGTATCTAAAAATAGTAAAGGTAAGGTTTTTTTAACAACAATATTTTTAAGTAGTGGAAAAAATATGTATAACAAGCCATGATGATTCTTACG